ATAAGAGCCCTCACCTCCACCTAGACCTGGTCTTCATGGACCCTCAATGCCCCTGCTCTACTTCAGCTTTCTTTATGTTGTCTCCTACAGCCTTCCGTAGTCCACATGGTGCCCAGCCCTCAAGGACAATCAGACCTACATGGATTTCTCATTCTATGATTTATTGTACATTTGTTCTTTCTATGAACTAATTCTTTTTTTTTTTTTTTTTTTTTTGGTTTTTTGGTTTTTTCTCCGGTACTGGGAATCGAACTCACGACCTTGCGCTTGCCAAGCAGGCGCTTTTGCCGTTGAGCTAAATCCCCAGCCCCTACAGAGGCTTTAAAGTCTACAAAAAAGCTAGGTAGTTTTGGCAGCACACACCTATCATCCCAGCACTCTGGGAGGCTGAGGCAAGAGGACTGCAAATTCAAGCTCAGTCTGGGCAACTTGGAGACCCTGGCTTCTAAAATGAATAAAGCCTGTGGGGGACATGGGCAAGTTCTATTGCCAACAAAGTTTGTGAGCATCTGTGGTACCCACAGTTTGGAAGCCGTCCCCATGGTTACTGAGAAGTTTTCTGTTGTTGTTGTTGAGACAGAGTCTTACTGTATAGTTCAGGTTGGCCTTAAACTCACTGTATACCCCAGGCTGGCATGGAACTCGCAGCGATCCTCCTGCCTCAGCCCCCGGGTGCTGGGATTACAGGCTGCACCACCATGCCCGGCTACCAGGGGGAGCTTTTCTAGCTGTAATCTGATCATTGGCTCACACACTTCGGGTCTGAGTCCCACAGACCCTGGCCTCCCAGCGTGTGTCCCTGCCTGTGTGATATCGCCTCCCGAGACCCTTGCTGGGACCACCCCAGGCCCTGCTCACCTGGACACCATGGTGAGCCGGGATTCTCCCATGATCCTTCGGGCTCGGGGGCTCCTCCATCTGCACCGGCTCGGAGGACCGGGCCAGGGCCGGCGCTGGGAGCTCCTCGTCCACATCCGTGTGGAGCCCGCCCTCGCCGTCCGTGTAGCCCTCACCGTCCGTGTAGACGCCGCCCTCGCCGTCCGTCTCCTCGTAGTCGCTGTTGGCCCGGCTGTCACAGCTGAGGTCCGCAGAGCTGGCGGCCAGGCCGCGGCTAGGAAGGTCCAGGTTGTCCTCGGAGGCACTGTCCTGCTGCGGTGGGCGGAGACACGGCTGCGGCCACCACGCCCGACCCGAGCCCCAGCTTCACCTCCCGGCCACACGGCGCCCGAGCCCGCGCCACCCCAGACCGCAGCCCTCCGGCCCGAACCTGGTCCTCGGCGCTCCAGATGGGTCGCGCCTGCTGCTCCCGGACCACCGCCTTGAGTTCCTCATACCAGGACCCGCCGGTCCCGTGCAGGGGCACGGTCGCTGGAGGGGGCAGGGGCGTCAGCCTGGCAAGGGGAGCCGGCGGGACCCCCCGGAGCCCGGCGCCCACCTGTGAAGAGGTGGCCGCTGTGCTTCCGCAGCTTCTGGGCCTGCGCGTAGAGGCGGCGCGAGCTGCGGCGGGAGGCGGGTGCCAGCCACTCGCGCAGGGCCTTGAGGGCCGGCCGGCTCTCGGGGGCGCAGAAGACCACGATCGGGTAATACTGCACGTAGTTGAGGCGCTCGATGGCCGACGGGGTCACATCCAGGAGAGCGTGTTTGTCCTGTCCCAAGGATGGGGATCGGGAGAGAACAGCCCCAGAGACAGCGTGCGGGAGACAGAGGGCGGAGACACAGAGAGCCGGGCTCAGGGCGGACCCCAGGCGCACCCCCTGCCGCATGTTAGAAGCGGCGGCGTCCTAACAGCTCGGTTTACACCAACCCACGCCTCCAAAGAGGGCTCCGTGGGAGATGTCACCGGTGGGGCGTAGGAACACGCCAGGGACATGGCTGGATGTCCAAGCCTGTTTCCCTGTCTGTGGCACAGGACTTCAGCTGGGACACACTCACCTTCTCTGCAATGACCCGTACAGTGTCCAGTTTGATGATCTTGGAGGGGCTGTCAGCCCGAGATACACTTTCTGTGGTAGGGGGAGGTGACGGTGGCTTCAGGAGGTGCTCTGGCACCACCATCGGCCTCCCTGTTCTGTGGATCTGACGCCGCTGGGCCCTCCTGGGAGTGGGACCCTGCAGTGTGTGTCCTTCTGTGTCTGGCTCAGTTCCCTGAGCTGCACAGCCTCATGGTCCGGCCTCACTGTAGCAGGGACAGGAGTTCCTTTTCCTGGCTGAGTAATATTCTAGCATGGGCAGATGACCCCTGCTGTGTGTATCCATTCTTCTTTGGGTGAACACGTGGTTTTTTTTCCTGCTCCTGGCTGTTGTAAATTGTGCTACTGTGAACACAGGTGTGCACGTATCTATTTGAGTCCCTGCCTTCAATTATTTTGGGCAGAGACACCCAGAAGTGGAGTTGCTGGAGCACGTGGTAATTCAATGTTTGATTTTTTTTGGTGGTGGTTGTTTTTTTTTTTGAGACATAGTCTTACTATGTAGCCCAGGCTGGCCTCAAACTTCTGGCAATTCTCCTGCCTCAGCCTCCTGAGTGCTGGGATTATAGGCATGTGCCACCACGTCTGGGTAACGTTTGAGTTCTTCCCTGCCCCGACCCTGGGTACTGGGAATAGACCTAGTGCCCCCAGAGTGTTTAGGCATGTGCTTGTGCTCTGCCACTGAGCTACACTCCCAGCCCCTACTTCTTTTTTAAGACAGGGTCTCACTAAATTGACCAGGCTGGGCTTAAACCCACAATCCTCCTGCCTCTGAGGAATCAGAGTTTGATTCCTAGAGGACCGACTGGTCTATTGCCCAAGGAGATGGCACAGTGCCCCCCACCAGCCAGGCACAGGCTCTAGCTGCCATTATCTTCAATCTTTTGTTTTACTCCAGTCACCCGGCAGGTGTGCATGGCATCTCAGGTGGCATAGACTTGCCCTTCCCTAACGACTAATGACGTGGCACTTGACGCTGTCCTCTGGACCACTTCCAGTCTCCTCCCGGGCGCTGCCTCCCACTCGGTTCCCTTTCCTGGAATCCCATCTGTCAAATTTGGAAAAGCTCCCTGGATGTTGCTGAATCCGCAGGGGCGGGACGGACACAGGGAGAGAGGGCCTCCTGCCTCCCCAAAGCACGCGGCCTCCCAAGGGGTTACTTGGAGCCCAGCACTCCAGGAGGCTGACGTAGGCAGACTGATTGCAAGTTTGAGGCCAGTTTGGGCAACGGGGCAAGAGCCTGTCTCACATTTTAAAACATAAATAAAAAGGACCAGGGGTGCAGCCCAGTGGTGAGCGCTTGCCTAGCACACGCCAGGTCCTGGGCCATCCCTGGCACCGCGAATGTAGAAAGTGGGCCTGCCTGACTTGAGACCTGTAGATGTCTGAGCCTGCACTAGCACCACTGCTTCCACAGCTGCAGACCCTTCATCCCCTGCGGGGACCTTGCCTCCCTGGTTCATGCTGTCCCCGTAGCCGGTTGCCCCAGACCTGGTTTCTCACCTGCAATCTCGAACTGCTCAGGCATCTCTGCTGTCAACTTTTGCATGGCGATGTCTGCCACAGGCCCTAGGATCACCACCGGGCGCTTGAAGCTGGCTGAGGGGCAGTGTAACAACAATTACGATCCAATTTGTGGCAAAGACAGCTTCCTGTGCACTTCTGGTATGTAACATGTATAGCCAGATCCACACTTCTTGCCCAGCAAGAAGACTACATTTCCCAGGCTCCCTTGCAGCTAGGCCTGCCCATGTGACTCTGCTCTGGCCAATGGGGTTTAGGCAGAGCTGATGGGCGTGGAGCTGGTCTTTGTCCTTCAAGAGAAACTCAATACTCAAAAACCAATAGCCTAGCCAGGTGTAGTAGCACTCCGCAGGCTGAGGCAGGAGGATCACTGCCAGTTCAAGACCACCCTGGCCAACAAAGTGAGCTCAGGGCCAACCTGAACTGCATAGTAAGACCCTGTCTCAAAAAGACATTAAAAAAAAAATTAATAACCTTCCCATATGCAAATAACAAACTCACTGAGAGGGAAATTAGGGAAATAACACCTTTCACAATAGCACCCAAAAAAATGAAATACTGAGGAATCAATCTAACAAGGGATGTAAAAGACCTTTACACTGAAAACTACAGTACTCTGAAAAAGGAGATTAAAGAGGATATCAGAAAATGGAAAGATATTGCTACCCTTGCTCTGGGGTAAGAAGAACCAATATAGTGAAAAGTGCCATACTTCCAAAACTGTTATTCAGATTTAATGCAATCCCAATCAAAATTCCAACAGTGCATCTCACAGAATTAGAGAAAACAATCCTAAAATTCATTTGGAACCAGCAGAGACCTAGAATAGCAAAGGCAATTCTGGGCAACAAAGGCAAGGCAGGGGGCATCACAACCCCTGACTTGAAGTTTACTATAAAGCTACTGTGATAAAAACAGCATGGTACTGGCAAAAAAGCAGACTCAAAGATCAGTGGAACAGATTAGAAGATGAAGAAATAACTCCAGACACACTTAGCCATCTTATCTTTGACAAAGATGCCAAACACATTCACTGGAAGAAAGAGAGCCTCTTTAATAAATGGTGCTGGGAAAACTGGCTCTGCACAGGCCGAAGATTAAAATCAGACCCGTATCTTTCACTGTGCACTAAACTAAAGTCAAAATGGATCAAAGATCTAAATATTAAAACAGAAACATTAAATCTACTGGAAGATAGAATAGGTAAAACTATTGAACACATTGGTGTAGGCAAAGACTTTATGAATGAAACCTCAATCACACAGGGACTATCAAAAAGAATTAACAACTTATTAAAAAGATTTTGCACAGAAAAAAAAACAACAGAGCAAAAAGACAACCCACAGTGTGGGAAAAGATGTTTGCCAGGTGTTCCTCAGACAAAGGATTACTATCAAGAACATACATTTATTTTACTTTTTTGTCTTTTTTGAGACAAGTTTTCGCTATGCAGCTCATACTGGCCTTGAGCTCACTTTGTAGCCCAGGCTGATCTTGAACTCACAATGACCTTCCTGCCTCAGCCTCCCGAGTACTGGGATTACAGGTGTGTGCCACCATGCCCAGCTTATTCAAGAACATATAAAGAACTCAAAAAAA